GTGGTTCAATCATTATTTATAGTTAATATAGTTTTCTTGTTATGTTAGTAAAGTATTTCGTTAAGTATAACAGTAAAGTTAAGGATAAGAAGTTTAATGAATAATTAGAAAACAATCGTTTCTTATATTAGGCACATTTTCTTTTTTTTCCTTTTCTTAAAAGACTAGACAGTTTGTAAAAGACAAAGCGGCTTATAAACAAAGTTGTATGAAGCCTGCCATTGAAAACACGACGAAAGACCATAACTTCGTAGAATCACATAGAAGACATAGTGCAGCTTGTTTCTAACTAACATTAATCGTAAAAACAATAACCTATTATGATAAAAGATAGAAAAAATACTAGTATATTACTAACTACTAAACTACACAAGAGCGCACTGATAATAGAAAAACATTATACTGGCAATAACAAAATATATAAGAAGCGGGAAGAGGTAATAATAAAAAAAAGGGATCATTCCACTCAACATTCAAAAAGTAGATAAATTTCGACTTTCAGAATGAAGGTGATTGTGTTGTTTGTGTTTGGTGAGTGAATATACTTGTGAAGACAATATTGTAAATAATACTTTAAAATACTGCACACACATGTTGTAGATGGTGTGACCTCATGTTTAATCAAACTGAAAAATCATCTATAAATATGATTGTTGTGGTGTTTTACTGATCCCAGGTGGTTTAATGTCACTCTACCAGTTTACTACAACATACAGAGAATATTACTGGTTTTGTCTCCATGTAGAGACGTTTCTTATATCCTCCTTTAATTACACATTAATAAAAGCAGAGTATTTCTTAACTGTGATCATCTTCTTTTCAGTGCTGGGTGCACTCTCTGCTGCAGGTGAAGATCTCATTGCAAAAGTCGGGCAGAAAGTCACATTGAACTGTGGAGTCAACAGCTATAGAAAGTCTCTGCAGTGGCTTCATGGAAATGACGTTCTTTTTACTGTTGGTCAGACAGGCTTCACTCGCAAAGGTACTTTACAATCTCACAATGCTTAACAGTAAACATCAGTATATGATGATTACATTATATTAGAACATATTTTTATTTTCTGTGTTAGGCACTGCTGAACTTGTGCAGAGGTCAGTCGTGAGACAGACGAATCTGGAAATCTCCAGTGTGAGAGAAACAGATGCTGGACGGTTCACATGTTTGGCAGATGGGACACGTCATGAACATTCACTTGTTGTGTTCTCAGGTAAACAGCAGACCCTGGAAAATATACTTTTACTTGGGGCGACTGTAGTTCAGGGGGTTGGGAAGCTCATTTTGTAACCGGAAGGTTGCCGGTTCGATCCCCAGCTCTGTCTTGGTCGTTGTGTCCTTGGGCAACCTAACACCTACTGGTGATGGCCATAGGATCTTTCCACGTTACACTGATAAACAGATGAAAATGACACTACTGTGAAATGAGGGGAAATTGTTTTATTGTGACTGATGGTTCTGTTACTATAACAGGTAAAAGGATATACAACAAATATATAAAATGTATTTCTTACACACCGTGTTTTGCACTCTGATGAAGTTTGGAGACTCACATTAGACCATTCAAAGCAGCAGAGACCAAAATCCAAATTATACTAGTTCAAAATTCAAGCTTTAATACCACCAACTACTACATTTCCCATAATTCAACTTAATCTTCTCCCAGTCAACTTTCAACATTTTTAAGAAACTCTATCCTACAGACAGCCTTCCTGCTAAATGTTTGTTGTCTCTAATCCCAAACTGGGATATTATCTGAGACTTCCTGAACAGGAGTGGAGCTACGGGGTGGGCATGATCACCACAGTCTTAAGTGTGGCCACCCTGCAATTGCTGGAGTCCATCAGGAGAAGGGGAAGCATCGGAGGGGCTACACACATACTCAGGGCTCTAGAATTACATCCATAACTAACCATTACATTATAGTATTCTTATTAACTCTATAAATATAAGTTACTTAAACATTTACTTTGGCTGGATTTCCTTTTTTGTGTTTTGTTTTTTTAATGAAAATATACTTACATTAAAAGCCTATGCTGTGTTTCTATATGGCATTCATGCCCGTGTAAGCAAATCGCGACAGTAATGCAAGAAGTAGGTGATGAAATAATACAATTTGGTCTACACTAATTTGTAGTAAAGGAAAAAGACACAAACATCAGCTTGTGACGTAATAAACAGTCCAGGCCTGGACTTTTCTGTCACTAGCTGGGTCACTACTTATTACGATTCCTCTACATTTAAATGTTTATTTATGATATTTTCATATCACCAAAAATGTTCTGATGTGTGAAAGCGTAACCACTTTTCCTTTAATACTTAGTGTAATATGCTCTCATTGTTTTCCTCTCATGTTATAAAGCTTTGTCATGTGTGTAGCGAGTTTGGATGAAGCACTTTGTTCAGCATGGTCTCCTTTTCTCTTTGTGATTCTCATGTATCTGTTGTTGTCCGTCTGTTCTCCTTCTCAGTTTCGGTCTCTCCCTCTGCTGTTCTCAAGCCGAACGATGAGGCAACGCTTCAGTGTGAGGTGAAAGGTCAGCCCCATGGTTGTGAAGTGAAGTGGCAGAGTCCAAATACAGATTCTCCCACAAATCCATCAACAGTTCAACTGAAACCTGTAACAAGCTCACATAACGGGGCCTGGGAGTGTATCGTCACCTGTGGCAGCAATAAGTTTAGTCAGAGTCTGACCATCACAGTTCAAGGTAATACACAGGCACTAGGAATGAAAACCTTTGTGTGCATATGTGGTCAAAGAAACATAAAGATGTGTGTTTTTGTTCTTCAGAGCCTCCAACTACAACAAAGTCGCCACCCAAACCGAATGGCAAGAGTGAGAAAACCTGTGACACAAACTGTGGGTACAGTTTATCACGACTTCTGCTCACAGAGATCCTTCACTGAATGTGTATCTGACACTTTTAATGCTTCAATAATCTGTTTGGCTTTCAGGCGGTAACGATGATGCTTCACCGAGGCTGTTGGGGCTCGCCTGGTGGGTGTGGGTTGCCATTGGTGTTGGCTGCCTGGTTGCGATTCTCCTGATGGTTTGCGTCATAGTCTTGTGTGTGAGAGTCAAAAGAAGGAAGGTAAGTGAGGAGATCCATTCATCACATCTTTATGTGGTGCTGTGATGACTGAAGATGAAACAAAGAAGAATGGCTCTCTGTAGCAAACAAAAAATGCATTTTTTTTCTTCTCTTGTTTTTTTATAGAAGAGATTTCTGAAGATGAAGGGCCAACAACGACCCAGGCATAAGAAATACTGCCAGTGTGACCAGTAAATGTTCTTATTTTACTCCAGTCTCATAAAAGAAATCCCCTTTTACCCCCACTTCAGCGATCTCTCTTCACTTTACAGATGCTTTCTAATAGACTCTATTCACTTTATACGAATGACTGTTTGACCTTCATTTTCACAGTGGCTTTTACCGAGTGCTCCATTATTATGTTGTAATTAGTGTGAAAACTTCTCCTCTTTGCTCTCTTTATCACAGCCCAACAGCTGCAGCAAAACCGAAGCAAGGACGCCGGAGAGAGAAGCCATCAGCCCTCCCTCTGCACCCCGCCTAATGGAGTGACATGAAAGGCAGATTGAAAGGAGGGGAGATGCAGGAGAATAAAGAGTGAAAGAGAGGAGGGGCAAGGAGGAATAGATGGAGATAAGGAGTGAGTGATGGAGAACCCCAGTGCGGACACGGCGTGAATGTAAATTAGGCTTTTAATGCAAATAAAAATTCAATGTAATGATGTAGGAACTTTTTGTGTAGGCGTTCTTTCTGCAAGTATAATTCCCGTCTGAACACTGTTTGTCCTAAACATTTCACCCCTCCACCCCACCTCCACCCCTCTCCATCCACCCACCGGATGTCCTTGGACTCTCCTCCCAAATCCTGTCACCTGACTCCCCGCGCTCACCTGCATGTCTCCAGTCAGTGAGCCGTGACATCCTCGGCTGTTTTCTTTGTCAGATTGTCAATCTTCCTCCAAGCGTTGTTGCTTCTTTTTTATTTTATTTTTTTGTGTGTTGGCTTTTTTGTTTTTTTTGGCCTGTCTGCCTTTTAAGCACAATTGTAACTAAAGATCTGCACTCGTTTTGCCTCAACATTTATACGTCATTTTAAATGTAACGCATTTATCGAGCTGATTAAAGAGAATGTCTTTCTTGTGTTTTTCTGCTCATATGTAAGATATTTCTTTTCTTCTTGTATTGCTTTAAAATCAAATGTTTATTTTTTCCATTCAATAAACTTTTACTTGACGACAACATTTGCTCATTTATTTCTATCTGCATGTCACAATCACAGGGTCACGTAACACCGTCAGACTGCACATACGCAGTTCGCTGCAAATCCTCAGTGTTAAGTAACAAAATAATTAAAATACTATAGTTTAAGACTTTTACACCCTTGTTCTTTTGCACTTCTCTGCTTTAGACCATGCCTACACTGGTTTCAAAGCTCACGAATTCCCTAAAACTGGTGCAATACCATGCAGCTGTTGACACCAGAGCAGCACTTCATGATATGGAATAAACAGTAAACACCTGTTTACCTCAATAACACGACCACCCGTGGCATACATACATGCTCATAAATATGCACAAGTGAAGTATTTTCAATCTTTTATATGAGTTAAGAAAAGCCCTGTTTTGTGCACTAAGTTGAGCTTATCAAACCTCTAAAAGTGTCCTCCAGGCTTGTGCCTGAATTTGTAATCTAGTCTGTAAAATGTATTAAGTGCATAACAGAGGGGGTGAGATCATAGTGAACGCTGACTTCCTGTGTGTGTGTGTGTTTGAAAAGGCACCTGCAGTGCACACAGCCTACCAAGTGTCAAAGCTGAACTCATAGCTGTACTGAGAAGATCCCATGTAAGTACTCTGTAATACTTTGTATGTATACTTTAGTGTTTTACGTGATAGTAGCAGGTTTTAAAAGCTTTTCTTCAAGGGAGATGATACTTTAATCAGGATAACAACATGTCAAGGGCTCGAATCATAACTACATGCTGACAAATGTCAGAGACGCTGCGAAAGATCCACTCTGATAGACGTAAAGGGGCACGTAGGGTCAAGATTCAAATGTGGTCCCAACAGAGGCCGCTTTTAAAAGTTTTTTGACTGATTTGTCTTGAATTTGATCTGCTCGTGTTTGTGTTTGTTGCCTGAAAAACTGGCACAATTATTTTCATATATATTTATATCATTAGAAGAAAGTGACGATCCACAGTTCGTAGCCAGCGTTCAGTGTGTCTGACTGTCAACACATGAATTGAATTAAATTCGTCAACACTGAAAGATTTATGGTTGTTTTATCATCAGACTTAAGCAATTCTCAAATGAGCCGGACCTGATCTGTAGATTTTACCCTCTATGGGACGTCTTTCAGCCTTCATTAGTCTCTCTGATGTGCTTAAACCTAATGACAACCCTGAGGAGGATTTCAAAATGTCACATCAGAAATGCCTAAAATAGAATTTTCTGCTCTGCAGTCTCTTTAAACGTAAAGATCAAAATTTATGCAATAACAGCAGCGCTAGCAACACGTTGTTGATTTTGCAATAAGATGCTAAATTTGTCCTGATCTTACGCAATCAGGACATAAACTAATTTTAATTTTTTTGAAAAAATGTAAAGAAAGTTATAGTATTCTTAACAGTTTAAAATCAGGCAGGTTTGCTTGAATGTTAAGTTTAGTGTGTGTGTTGTTCCTCTAAAATATGATAGTGCTAGCTTTGCTGAGGGCCTTGTGCCATGCAGAACGCTTAATTTTGGAGGTAAATAGCAACGTTAATCAAAAAGCTTCAAATACCTTCAAATATTTTTAACACATTTGGTAAAGTGTTTCTTTTACGGCATTTATAAATTACTAAAACACACTGTAGCAAAGTATTTCTCTTATGTTATGTATATAACATTAAAAATGTTTTCACAAGTTAAAACTTCTGCCTTAAAACAGCCTTAAAAAGTCGAAAAAAATCTCACAGCTTATCTTATTTTTATATTTTTGGCACCGATAGTGTCGACAGTAATGTACTGCTTTTATTTAGTTCAGGTAAATAAGACCTGTAGCGTTCCCTCGTAAAGGCCATTTACAGCTGAGTGTGGATCGCACCTCATCTGCTGAGTTTTCTTTAACAAACAAATAACTCTGAGAAGCTTTCAGCGTGCGTACTATCTTCAGAAATACGCCAGACGATGCCAAAAAATTTACTTATAGCAGGGTTAGTTCAAATGCTACGTGTGGTGGGCAGCAAATTATTGTAATATAATGAAAAATTTGCTTGTTTAACGCAAATCTCCTTGTAAACTGTAACACTGAGCATAGTTCAGCAGTTATACTGAGGAAATTAAACTTTAGATCACACTAAGTGGTAAAATCTCATATTTGCTTTAAACTCTAAACTCAGAGGCATTACACAGGTATCCAAACTAGGTTACCTTCAGAAAATAAAAGTTTTGACCTCTCGTTAAAGACAGGTGGCGCGTACGATGGTTACATCAATGACGGCCTTGTTTTGTTGAATGGTCCCAAAGAGTCGTGAAGCAGTGAGCTTGCGTGGCTTTGGGGTCCTGCTGGTTTTGTTTTAGGAGGACCCTGAAACTGAAAATGCTTCCTATGAAAACTGCCAATATAAAATAAATGAAAAAATAAATAAATGAATGAAATGAAATTTACCAAGTGCTGTACTCTCACTCGAATATAAAATATAATAAGTGTAGGATTAAACTGGCTCAAATTTTTTGATTAATATTACAAAAATGGGCAATAATTTAGTGTTAGAGATATCTCACTTGAGATTAGATAGTGCTTGTTTTCTTATCTCTGAGCATTATATCAGGATAACAGTCTAGATTTCACTAATCCGTGGCTCATAGTGTTTAAATTTTACTCATGATAAGCACCATTAAAATTAGATCTAGCAAACATGGCATAGTGGCTGCAGACGGACAAAGATCTGGCGTAAAATACTAAAAAATAAATAAACCTGGCTCTTTCTGCGCGAGCGCTTTAATAGATCGCCTCCTTTCAGCTTCTCCATGTTTTATCTACTGCCAGAGCTTAAAAGGAGTCATATAACTCACAATTTTAAAAATGATATTACAAAGTGGTAACAAATTAAAGGAAAATCCTGAAAACCCCCGACCCTGCCAGCGAAGCAATGCGATGCAGTGGCCCCTTTTTACTTTGAGGGGCTTGTCCCTCGAGAGCAAAGCGTCACTAGAAATCAAGCAACCAAAAAGTTGATTTGCACTTTATCCTTTCATGGAGCACTTCTATCCTGAAGGGAGCGGTCTGTTCCAGGATGGAAATGCCCCCGTCCAGAGGGCGCGAGGGGTCACTGAACGGTTTGAATATAAAACGATGTGCTACGGCCTCCCGAGACACGAGATTTTAACTCAGTATGAATGATTTTAGGCTGATGTACTGAACTGCTCTCCCCATCAAATGAGAGAATATCTTGGAAAAGAGTGGCGAGCATCCCCCCCCAGCAGAGTCTCAAAGATTTAACGCAAATATTGTAGAAAAGTGCACCCAAGCTGTTCAGGCGGCACGTTGCGGCCCAACTTCTAACTAAGACACTTGCTGGTTTTCACATATCTTTATGATGTTACTTCTGCTGCGTGTGCATATTTTATGTTCCAGTTTGCTCTAAAACTAAATGTTTTGTGACACAAATGAAATTTGGTAACATACATGTCGGATAAAGTCCATCAGTGGCCAACCAGCACAGCGCTGCAGCACAGTCTGAAACAGAAGCGCTACCTTGAGCTTAAAGTGTTGACTGTTTGTTTTGTTTTTTTACACCAAAATGTTAACGTACAGCTGAATGCTGCACCTCACAGGTGTCAGCAGGCACTTCTTACTTGCTGAACTGTCTTCTTGCCTTTCTCATTTCGAGGGTAGTTTGTTTTCAGTTTGCTCAGTAGGATTGAGGTTGGTTGGCTGATTTGGCCTGTGAATGTCGATCACATGTCCCCGGGTTCTTGGTTGTTTCAGCTTCATGCTCCGGATGCTATTCCTACAATTCAAAGGACTGAATTGTTTATCTCTGTTTATCCAGGAACACCCATAAAGCTGTTCAGAGCAGTTCAAAGCCATTTATTGTTTATTACTGACTAACTAAAGTGCTGCTGATTTACTCTTTTTGTTGCATATCATCGTGAAGAGTCATTAAATGTACTTGTTTCTTCTTCTTGGACTTTAGCAGTGAGCAAAAAGTCTCCTAGAGGCACACACTGTATGTATTTTGATGTTCTCTGTAGGCGATTACTGAGATGTGTTTCCCTTACCCTGTTATGAAAATATAACCTGTCTACACTGGAGGTGTTCTCATATGAGACATTAGGATTCCCTTTTCATGGGACTGCATTAGTCAGTTCTCTTTTTCACTGTATTACCCAAATGTGCACACTCATAGACACAAACATGCAGTCATACAAAGTGAAACTGCAATTTCTGAAGCAGGGTGTGTCCCTCCTTCTGCTATTTCCATTTGTCTTGTCATTCCATCGCTACAAACCATCAGGAGCCAAATTCAGGTCAGCAAATCAAATTTTTTACTTCTTGATATCAGCAGGTTAGAAATGTCACTGTTAAAGGACATTGTTGCGATACATGTATTTATTGTTTGTGTAACCTCCATAAACAGCATATTACTGTAAAATTACGCTTATGTGAAAAAAGGAAGTGGACCGTTTTCCCATTCTGAACTTTTATGTATCAGGACATAATAAAATATCATCTGATCCTCAGCAGGGATCTGCAGGCAACACGGCAACCACATCCTGTCCTCCTGTCAGGCCAGTAGAGTTAAAGAAATGTGCATACCATAACAGCAGCTGTATGGCCGCATACCTGTGAGGTTGTTGTAAGGTAGTGTTGCATCTGTTAGTATCAGAGTAACAGTCTACTTCCAAAACTTCTCTGCAGTAAACTATAAAACACAAATATGTGATGCTATAAGGTCGCTTATAGCATCACATATTTGTGATGCTATAAGCGATCACAAATATGTGATGTCGTGCGACGCTGGGTCGCACGACCCTTAAAGATTAAAAAAACAACAACATGTGATTAAACTCTTTCATTGTTTAGTTAACAAAAACTAGATGAAAAAGCAGAAACTGTGTGAAATAGAAGATTCAGGAGCTTGCAGAACAACCTTTAACAATAATCATTTTCTGTATGACTTTATCAGTGTCTCACATCATGTTGGCCCACTTTTCTTTGCATTTTTACTTTAGTTCATTGAGGTTTGTAGGCATTCATTTGTGCATAACTCTCTTCAGGTCCCAACACATCATTTCAGTCCGGTTGAGAGCTGGATTTTTCCTGGGCCATTGCAACATCTCGATTTTTGACTTTTGATTTGCTGCTGCGCTTGCGATCGTTGTTCTGTTGCGTGACTTAGCCGTCAGACAGATTGCTTCACATTTCTAAAAGTGTTTCGTATAAAGTTAACTGTCAGCTCAGGACAGTGACAGCAGAACAAACATAAATCATTACTCCTGACTGTGCTTGACAGTTGAGGTGTTTGTGCTGATAAGCTGTGGTTCATTTTTCTGAGCGTTATGGCCAAACTTCTCCATTTTAGCTCGATCTGTCTAAAAGCAGTCGTGTGGTTTGTTCAGATGCAAAGCCATGCTGCCATGTTCTTTTTAGACAGTGTTTCTTCTGGCAACTCTTCCGAACAGGATGTACTTGTTCAGTCTTTTTCTGAATGTATTGTCATGAACTTTTACATCTAATAAACTGAGGCCTGTAGAGTCTGAGATGTAGCTCTTGGGTTTTCGGCACTTTCTCTGAGCATCGCTCAGTCTGACCTTGGTGTGAATTTGCTGGGACGTCCACTGAAGATTAGCAGCTGTCTTAAATGTTTTCCACTGATGAACAATCTTTCTCGGTGTAGAATAATAAACTTCACAATGTTAGGAAATGGCCTTAAAGCATTTATAGCATTTACATATAGCAGTTAGTTAGATTACCAGACCGTTGATATCTTTCTTGTTGTTAACACAAACCTGAATGCTCCAGACCTGTAACCTGTTAAAACAGTTAACATGATTAATTAATGAAGTGCATTTGATTATCAGCACCAGGCTGCTACTTACCACTTAATTCCTATGACGAAGGAATTAAGTGGTGGCTCCCACATAGCAAGCAGGTCTGGCCCGGATCTGGTATCAAGCCGTCACTGCTGGCTGACTTCTGGCATGGTAAGTGGTATATCATCCATATATGGGTCAGGCTTGGCGTAGATGGCACTGACTATGTGATGGCATGCCACATCTGGCTCGATTATGTTTTTGGTTATGTGGCCCAGGATCATAGAAAAGAGATCTGGCCCGACTGGTGTCATGGCAGGGTGTATGTCAACCAGATGTGGGCCAGGTCTGCCAATGATGACATAATTTATGTTCCTATTTTCCTATTTTAGTTAGAAGACCCAAATGCCATGTTGCAATACTATACTGCTATGGTAGCCAACGTTTCAAATGCAGGTTTGACAGGTTTGTGAGTGTACACTTTATCCAAAACCTAGTGACGGTTTACTCATGTTTATCACAGGGTGGCTGTAGCTCAGGAGGTAGATCAGAAGGTTAGTGGTTCGATCCCTGTTTCCTCCAGTCTGCATATCAAGAGTGTGAATGTGTATGAATGTAGTTAGGAAGCACTCAGTTAAGAGAAAGTGTGTGATTGGGTGAATGTGTCATGTTGTATAGAGCACTTTGAGTAATCTGGGAGAGTAGAGGTGCGCTATATAAGAATCAGTCCATTCACTGTCTGAACAGAGTTTCCTCATGTTACTTTTGCACTATTATGTTCCGGCACATGTTGTTATTACACGGCTTGATTAAGGTACATATTAGGCTGACATCTGGGGCCAGAGCTGAAACTGTTCTGGGGCAGCACAGGCCGTCATTCTTTGCGGTATGTGAGCCATGTGTAAGCACATTGTGTGGTCCAGATCCGAGCCATACCAATTTTGCTATGTTGGCTGTAGCTCAGGAGATAAAGCAGGTCATCTACTTTTTGGAAGTTGGATCCCTTTTGATTCCCTCCCTGCTCCAATTTGTATGCCAGTAAGTTAACAGGCTTGTAGAAGTAGAAACAAGCGCTTGTCTGTGAATGGGTGAATGGGGCAAAATGTATAAGCGCTTTGAGTCCTTGAGTAGAAAAGTGCTATATAAGAAATGGATGTGTTTAATTATTCATAAACTTCTTCTTAACTTTTAACGTTTACTAAATAAATAATGACACAATATGTCATGTCACATGTTGCTGTTCATTGGAGGTTGTGTTTAAATAATGTTAAGTACTGCTAAGAATCAGATCTCTCTTATTATGTGTGATACATTAAAACTTTAGAGATCAAAGAGGGTGTTTTTATCTTTTCCACATGACTGTAGCAGCATCTCCTCGCTCGGGCACCCCGAGTTTAGTTTCTTGGTTTTGTCATACTATGACAAGATATCGGCTCTGTAGAAGTTCCCCTTTTTCTTCCACAACATGGTTAGGGGAATGCTTTGGTATTTAACTTCAGAGCATCTACCCCGAAAGTGAGCACAACTGAACCCTACAGGAGTCTCGTTGATGGTGGTAAAGCCTCAACACGTAATAGCTTAAAATAACCACCATAACATTTCTGAATTAATACTCTGAACACCAAAGAAAAAGGAATTATATATAACGTACTTTTTACAGTTTACAGTAGCTTCCTGTTCATATTTTTTTGTACAAAGGAATTGGCACAAACTACAGCGCAAAACTCTGTAAACTGTCCTTGATTTCAGCTCCAGTTTGTTAGATTGAAGTATTCGGAGAGGGTTTTTTTGCAAACGTACGTGCATAGGTAATGACCCTGACACAAGTGCCAATGTAGCCACCATCATTACAAATTTGTTAAATGCCAAACAGCAGCAGATTGTTGCAAAAAACACCAAAAAACACCAAAACAAAACAGTTGCAATAGTAAGCAGGATGATGTGTGAGCTTTCAGAGCAGGGAGAGGCAGCACACAGCAGCCAGCTGTAACCCCACTGCAGGTGCACTCCTTTTTTAAAAACTGAATTTCCTGATTATTTTTGAAATGATCGTGTGCTGGGTGATTTCCCTGCAGTAAACTCCCCTCGTGTTTCACTTCCACGCAGGTTTTAGTGTCAGAGCAGCTTTTCATGACTGGAATCGCTGTTAAAGCAACCTGCAGAGGGTGATCGGTCAGTGACCGGTCGCAGGCTAAAATCCTTTGTTTTCTTGTTTGTTAAAGTTGTCCTCTCATAGGTGGTGTCTCAGCTGCTCCTCTTCGTCTTGCTGTGTGTTGTTGGCTTTTAAAACTAAAGAAGTGAAAGTGTTGTTAGTAGGCAAAGGGTAACATGCAGTGAATCAGGAAATGAAGCATTATGGTTAAATTATGGCCGGCTTTTTAAATGCTCTTCAGCTCTGTTTGTGTAACAAATGTTTTCTGGTTTTCCTGTTTCAGTAGGTTCACATTAATAGAAACTCTTTCACTGTACACCTGTACTGGCTGTCTAATACAGCTCTAATGTAAGAGATTGTCTTCATTCTTAAAAGACGTCCTAAAGTTGTGACAAATAACGCAGGTACCATTAAGTCTTTCCCTTTTTGTGTTTCTCTGTCAGTGTTTTCTAACATTTAATGAGTGCAGCAGACATGAAGGGGGGGGGGATTTCGTGCTAAAAAGAGTGTCACTTAATTTGACTACCCACATGGAAAAGAAATAGAAAGTGCTTAGAGCGAAATGTTTATGTTTCATGTTCAGGAGATTGACTCTTTGACGTTTTCCTTATACAGTCGTAAGATATTTAGAGTGAACTGAGTAAACATTGTTTTGTGAGGTAGAAATTAGTAGATAATAATATGAGAGATGACCCACTCAGTCACAGTGAATTATCTCTTTATTTCTCCACATTTTGTAACAAGACTTTGTACAGAACGACATCAGCTGAGTAAGTTAAGCCTCTTTTACCTTATAGAACCGGGAAACTGTGTCTTTTACCAAGTATGTGTGTGTTTTGCTTGTAGTTTGCTACTAAATAACTGTTTGCGAAAAATCAGCAGCAGTCCAGCGAGTGGAAAACTTAACGACAAATGCATCTTTACATTTCTCACTTCTGAATGAATGATGTTTACATTCACATCTTCCAAAAGCCACACTGGCTTCATATTGGCTGTGTTTTATTGTGTGTATTTGCGCATCAGATGTTTTATTAAATTTGTCACAGATACTTTTGAAACATCAGTCTGCAAACTTTGGACTCATACCGCAGGTCATGATCATCATTATCAAAGGCAATATAAACACTTTTTCTATTTCTATTTCTTTTAGTTTACCTTTAACTTTGAAGATGATTTTTGCCCATTAAAAAATCTGCCTCTCCTGTTGCCTCTGAAGCGGCATTAGGAAGCAGGCTCCTCAAAATCAACGCCGCGGGGCCGAGCCTGCAGCGAACAAAAAAAACTGCACAAATGCATTTTTAAAATGATTTGATTATTTAATCTAATGGCAGCTTAGTGTGTTTTTTAGCTATTGGGCAGATGTAGCAAAGGAACATCACTGAACTCTTCCTGACACTTTGAATGTGGCCGTCTGTACAATGAGTGGCAACATGTGAGTAGTGGAATAGTGGTTTTGTGTCTAACGTTTATGCAATTAAAATGCAGGAGTAGACATTTAGTTCTTATTTGAATGCATGTTGATGGAAAAAAAATTGCAAAACATTTCCATAATTTCCGGATATAAACTGTAGGATGTACAGAAAAACATTACTGACTGAAAACTGAATTTTGTCTGTGTCATTGTTTTGAGAAATGCTCTAAAACTGACATCAAATGTTTTTTGTTTCCATTTTGTTTATTCATTTATTACAATAAGCGAATAATCATATTATCTCGATTACTTACAGGAATGCAGTAACGTGCTTCAGCTACGCTCAGCGCAAATGCTGCACACACGTCTGTAGGCGCTGTGGAAATATACAGCAGTGTTTCCACTGCAAACAAATGTCATCGTTAACCTCATCATCTTAATCACAGATTTATAGTAGCAGTTGTGTGCAGTCCATATGAATTAGAAAATCTACATGAACTGTGGCAAAATCTACATTTTCCTTTTGATAAAAACGATCATCCAGCGGCCCACAAACCAAAAATAACTTACAGATACTGATGATGGAGGTTTTAGCGATGAGTGGGAGAGACAGTAAACTTTTCTGTCTTTGCGACTGTTTCACAAGTTTGAGGTTTCAAAGAAGCTTGAATGAAGTTCCCCTCATGATGAAACAGACTAAATGTTTTCAGGCACTGAGGGAGAATGTCACTTGTTTCTGATTCTTAACATCTTTTCCACTGACATTTTGTTTATTTATGAAACACAAAAACAGTCACAGACTCTTAAACTTCCAGCACACACCCAGCACCTTCAGCACATCCTCCCGTCTTTGGCTAAATCGCACGCCATAAGTCTAACCTGTAATTTTATCAAATACAATAAAACCAGCGCAAGTCAGAGACAGGAAATAGAGATCGATTGCCGAGGGAAACCCTCTGTAGGAGAGATTGGAGGCTGAGGAAGCATGAGAGGCATATGAAAAAAGTGAATCACCCATCTTTCTTGCTTGTGGCCCACACTTTGTCTTTTTCTTTTTCAGTAATGACACAGTGTGGTGCACACCCCCTCGTTAGGTGTGTGTGACTAATGAGGGAGTCCTCACTTTCAAGGTGTTTTCCATCAAAATCACAGCTCATAAACAAATATGCATCCACCGAGGAAAGAAAGGGGTGTCGCGCTGATCGCGGGCTTTGCAGCCGCTTTTATATCCGAGTAATCTGAAAGGAGCTCCGTTTAAAAGCTCATTTCATTTAGGCCTGTAAGCAAACGTTTGGCTGAGGCAGCACAGACGTGAAGGTTTTGTTTTACGAGTGAACAAAAGCTTGTTTCATTTCGAGCTCAGAAGGAACAGAAGCAGGTGTGAGCCCTTCATGAAGGCAGTACAGAGGCAGGCAGAGAAACCTCAGAGAGACACATGAGACGTGTGTGAGATGTTTGTTTTGTCCTTGTTGTGGTTCCTGTATCTAAACCACCTCAGCAGCGTGTTTCTGCAGCACCAGTCTGATCCCTGTAGCCTTCATTAGCTGTGATGGAAGAGATCATCTGATTTCTTGAATGAAAAATAAGCGATTAGCTTATATTTCAGCAGAATAAACAGCCAAACGATAACCCTTTACAGAGTCAGTGCATCTGTGTCAAACATGCTGCTGAGCCTCTCAGGTCTGTCCTTCAGAGTGTAGTACTTCACTGGTATTGTGCCCAAATTTTAAGCAGTTTTGATTCAATTTAATGTAATCTTCCAGTCACAGGATCTCTCATGTTTTCTGAGGACATCAAAGATGCTCAGATTTTTGTAATTAGTTTGCAGTTTAATGTTTTATCTAGCACATCAGCACAGCTGCCGTAGCTGTAAGGCAATACTGTACTCACCCATACAGCTCGTGTGTACAACTTCTGAGAAGCTGACAACAGTGAGAAAACACAGAAATCTACAGATGTTGTTGAGTCGAGCGCAGATGTGACTCGGCTGCATTTTAGGAGTGCAAATAAGAGCAAGCAGATGATCAGCTCCCTCACAGGTGGACAGTTACTATTATTAAGTAATAAAGCAATGAGTAATCAGAGTGCCGTACAGAGAGAAAAGTGAAATGTGCACAGAATCTGAAATCTTAAGCTCAAAATTATGATACCGATCCCCAACAAGAGTCATCTGTGGGACTCTTTATATCACTTTTCAGGTCAAGAAGGGAGATTGAGGGAAAGGTGTTGTTATATTTCTCCCGGACTGCCCGAACTCTGCAAGCTATACGTATAAATGAATTTTAGTGGCATGGCAGATTGACTGATGACGACCGATTGCCTTCATGTCAAAGAAAAGAAGAATATCGCCTCTACCATGAATTTGATCACACTCTGGTAAAATGAACTGGATTGATGCTGCGTGCCTTTTTTTAAATGAACAAAGTAGTTTGCTGATAATTACATTTAGCACAGTTACATTTACAGACTAATGTTGGCCGTCATAGACCTCAGTCTGGTCAACCTTTTATTCACGTGTTTGTCTGTTAACAAAGGGTCCCAGATATTTTAGCAACTAAAGTGACCCCTTTATACTTTATACAACAAAACCTAATTTACATGGCTCTATTTGTGTTTATTCTAATGTAATCAGCAATGGTTTTAAATCATTTTGATGCCGAAGTTACCCAACTCAAACGCTTTAGCTATATTTCATCGTCATCGTGCTCGACTTTTGCAGATTTGGTTCTCTGAGTCTGTTAGCTGCGCTCACTGTAAAACATTGTAATGCAGCGATTCCAAGTAAAAACATTTAAATAAAACAAACCAGAAACATTTCCATCATCATACATGACCCCACACAACTTTCCATTATCCCTGACACACCATTGTTCCAATTCCTGTAATCTATGAAAAACTATGAGTGAAGTAGACCGATGAATTCATGGTAGGAAATGTTTTCATGATTAAAGATTAAAGACAAATATTTCTACACCGCTAACGTCATAAATGAGTCCACGCGGTCATTTGAAGTTAAAACTCGCAAACCCAGCATTGTTCTGATGAAGTTCGATCAGTTTTTCTGTTTAATACAAATTTGCTGGTAAGACATAAAGAAACGGGAATTATGTAAGACGGAAACATTCAATAAAAAACTATTGATCGCTTTCACCCGCGCTGACCGTTTGGCGGGTCTTTTCTTGTCAAACGCACAAAGGGAAGATTTTCTTTACTCGACAAATCTTTACATTTCAGTACAGTTTGTTTTATTAAAATTAGTTCATAGAATCTTAGATTGAAAGGAAATTTCAATTTACTGCTAGTTACCGCCAAATAACATGACACAGTGGTTTTTATTTTGATGAATGTTTTCCTCGATGCTGTAGCTTCGGCGGAGCTCCGTAACAAGCACAAACAGATTATATACATCGAAAAATGAGTAACATTTAAGCTACTCAGCAACAACTGAAGAAGACATATTGTGAACATTTATTCTGGCGGGTATGTTTGTACGATTGTGATTTCAGCACCTTTACACGCACGGCTGGGTGGACTTATAAATTTCACAAAGTTATTGTGTTTGTTGACTTTATTCTACTTTAACATCCATTCATCTTGTTCTGAACTTTAAAACTTAGGCCGTGATTATTGGTTGATTGATGATTCGCTCGCCGTGTTCAGACAGCAATATTTGTTTGCTTTCTGGAAGAAATCTAAACATGTCAAAGATGGGGGAAAAATGAACGATAAGGGCAATTTTAAAGTGCGAAGAGGTTCTGAAAAGCACTGGTCATGGAAGTGAGAGCGAGACCTTACAGAAGAGACGCTGCACTGCACCGTCGTCGATAGACTTGAAGGTTTTAAGTCCATGAAGTCTGTTATTCCGTCATATATAAATTAATCTCATATATGCCGCTCTCCCAGGAAAAAAAACATCCCTAAACTTTTTGCTTTTCTCATCCCGTTCTGCACTTTATCCGACTTTCTCTCCAGGAAATGTCGCATTTTTAATTTGCATCAGTCAACTGTTTTTGTGAAGATTGGTTCAGCAGTTCATGCTTGAATTCTGATACACTAATTATGTATCTAAATTGGTACAATTATAAGACCAGTGGAAAATTACAATAAATTAGTTTGTAAGCGGCTCATGTGCCGCTTAGAACGTGCTAAGGATAGATAATGAGTCCGGAGAGACCCTTCACAGAGTTTATGACATAAACAGCATCTCATACTTAATGAGCTAAGACATTTTACTCCATTAAGATTTGTTCTCTATTTGTTATTATAGCCACTGGACAGATTAAAAGTAAAAACAGAAACTCAAAAAAACATTTAATTTTACTGATTAAATGACGACATGATTACACTGCCAAAGCGATGTGTTTCAGTGTTTTGTGTATATGAATCTTAGATATTTTGTTTACTCTAAACAGTACCCAACGGTAAACAGTTTAAGGGGGTAGAAAAGTTTCGAAAACTGATCTTGAGTAGAGTTTAACAACCAATCAAAGGTCATTTTTCTGACTTTGGGTCTGATCAGCATCTGTGTGTGTGTCTTCCAGGCCAATCAGTGCTGAGGGAGGTGCAACGGCATTTAAAAAGAGGGCTCGTTTGATAAATATACAACACTTCCGACTGACTCCGGATCACTGAGCACAGAGGGACACTCTGCACTGAGCAGCCGCTGTAAGTATTGTGTAATTTTTCAGATTTTAACCGAATACACACATAATTCAGAACCACGGCACACGTTGTAAAGTTAATTTATACTAGAATTATCAGTATCACATTTTTTTTAAATAATAAGTTTGAAATATAAACATGTAAAGCCTCAACAGGCCCAGTGGAGCCAGAATATCACGCTGAGTTTTATGCAATTAGAGCTCCAAGGTAAGTTTTATAAATCGACAGTGCAGTGACGATCCTCTCCAGATATGAAAAAACTGAAAGAAAAAACTAAATAATAAACTTTTTGGAGGATTTTAAAAACACACACATTAAACGTTGCCTGAAAATGTAATTTCAGATCGTATTATTAAAAATGTTAAAATGCTAATCCAGTTTCTTGCATTTCTTTTTTCTTACATTTAACTAAAACATATAATCGTTTAAGCGCTGAGCAACTGACCCGTACAAAACAGATGACCGCTGAGCAAAAGATGTATGTGTAATATTCAAATTATACATTTACAATAAAATAGGATATAAACATTTACACCGGTGGATTATTTTAGCTTGAACTAAATATGTTGACGTAGCATTAGCGATAGTTGTGTACCACAGTTATTTTTTAAGTTACTCACAAATTCACGCTTTATGACACACAACTATTCCTGATTTTTCTGAAAAACAAACAATCTAACACTTTAATTTTTTCTTAAGCTTCATAAATAAAATATGTTTGAGGTGATGGTGAAAAAAATAAAGGAAACTTTTTGTCAAATTAATTTAAATTCTGGCCAAAAAAAAAGAGTATATATGAGACATGTGGATATAAAAAAAAATGAGATGAATGAAATTAAATGAAATGCTGCTGTTAATCTGGTTTCTCTGTTCATTCAGCTCCCCTCCTTCATCTCTCTGCTGTGTCTGACCCTCATCCTCCCCTCCCCCCCGTCTCTGTATTTGTTGTTGTAGCTCCCTTCTGACTGCAGATACGATCATGCTGGTTTCTGGGTTATACTTCCACAGGTGCGATGACTTTGAACGTCAGTTTGTCATCAGTTTCACTCCATCACCGATCTTCCCTCATTATTGTTTCTTACAAACTCTGATACAATTCATATTAAACACTATGCAGTTTCAGTCGAGTGAAATAGATTATATTGGGGCATAAATTCTCTGAGACATTCTTCCTCAACAACAAAAACACCCCAGATTTTAATATTTCCTGTTGATTTTCTTCTTCTGGTAGCTGGCTCATCTATGAGCGCTAACAATTAGCTTTTTAAATTCAAGATTTTAAGAGTGAGGCCCCTAGAGAGATGATTGCACTCTAAAGCTGTTACGAGAATTATTTTTTTTATTATTTTCATGTGAATAATGAGGCTATTAGTAGGATAAAGGAGGACTTGGTGACTTTTATATTTATCCCAACACATTTATGCACATTTAGCCCATAAGGACATTGTGCATCATACGTGGAGCTGATTTTCCCTCCAATGGTGAAACTAGTGAAAACCTGTAATATTATTAAAGGTATTTGGGGGCACTTTACTGCACAGAGACATGTAGAGCCGGCGCCCGGGCTGGCCCAAACTAGAGACTCCGCAAACCTTTAATTTTACCGTAAGTTTAAATATCTATTAGCAGTTAAACCTTAAACAATAACTCAAAATAACTGGACACGAGCAGTTATTGTGTGTCTCCACATATTATATATAATAGCGCATTAAATTTAGATTTAAAACACATTCGGTCGTCGATAAAAAAAACATGTATTTAGGCGTAAAGTTCTGTTTTACCTCACTATTGAAGAATATTTTGATGAACAATTCTCTGATCTTCGTCTGTTTCACGAATAAAGAGCCCACAGCTTTATCCACGTCTCATAGAGAATCGTGTCATCACAGCATTGCCATTTTTCTTCAATCAAAATAATTTATTATTTTTGATCGATTTATGTTTTGATCTAAAGTGTTTAATCCAAAAAGGAAAAATCTGATACAGAACTCAAGTCTTATCATTTAAAAGTCAAATAGTTCCTAAGATCTCTGGAAATTGTGTAGTGTTGCACAAATAAATCTGATTCGCTCAATCTGCTCATTCAAAATAAAAAGTCTTCAATGAACATCGGCTTAAAGAAATATTCATAATCTTACTTTAAAGCTGCTTCCCCTTCAAGAGTGTGTTTGTTGAGAGGGCACATAAATGCCCTCTTTTAACATTTTTTCAATATTAATTTATTTATCTTTTTACACAAACATACCTTTAGAGTTTCTGTGCACAACCATAACACAGCGTACAGGCAAAGAGAAGAAAAACAGAGATAAGGGGTGAAACAGAAAAAAAAGGAGAGAAACATCTACCTTAAACCACAGTCTAGGTGTGCTGCCGGTGCTGTGGTCTTTTTAAGCGTGGAGAGATCCGTCTTTCGTGGAACACAGGAGGAAGAGAGGGGGTGTGAGAGGCAGAAGAAGGGAGGACTGGGATAAGAATCTGCACCCTTCACTAAATCAAGTCCCACCACAAGCCAGCTTACGCTCTGAGCCTCTTCCCTCCAACATTTGTCTGCTTCTTTTCATCCAAAGCCCACCACAGGCCGCCTACTCTCAGCTCTCTGAACTACTTGTCTTTTATCTTCTCAAATCTCTCAAAATCTGAGACCACCACAAACCCCCCTTTGCTTCCTGTTGAATGATTTCACTTTGCAGCAGACTTCAATATACACAGGACGCTACAACTAAACTAAAGACTCATTTTTACTGAAATGCTTATTTTTCAACATCTACTTTTCTTCTTGTTTGTCACTAAATGATTAAATATAGTACGACATATTTACGATGTATTGCGGACCTGTTCAACAGCTCTGAAAGACCTTCAAGTTTCATTTACAGGTTACATAGAGAGTTATTTATTTATTGATTCGTATGCAGTGAAGTACAACATCACTACTAAACACCCTCAAATCAATCGGTCAATGCATTTTTTTAAAGGATTGTATTGAGTTCAGGCAGCAAATCTCAGACAATTGAACAGTAAATTGGATTTGCCATATAAACTTAAGAAGCAGGCTGATGTGGAATTTAATTCCATGGAGATTTTCTTTATGGTTTTCTTCTGTGTTGTATCTGTTTCAAAGAACTACATACATGTGTGATCATATAATATATAACAATTATACCTTGGGCATTCTGATGTAAAGAAAGTAATACATTTCTTGAATGTTGTTCTGCTCTTTTAAGAAAGTAGCAAATAATCAGGCTTGAAGTCTTAATCAAAAAAGTTAACATTTGAAAGAAGCTATAAAAATAAAGCTTATAGTTAATATAAAAATCTATAAACTGTATTTTTATTATATTTTCCAGACATATAACAAGGATGAAGAACTTCATTCAGTCCCTTCTCCTTCTTATCGCTGTGATTGTGTCAACTACCGGTAAGACGCCCTGACTGTAGACTCATTTATTTTCATTTGGAAACTGGACTGTTTGATATTCCGTATTAACACATAACATCCTTCTTATCCTTGTAGGTGCTCAGAAAGAGATTTATGCTAAGGAGGGACAGGATATTACCTTGGAGCCAACATCCTATCCAATAAACTCTTATGTGTACTGGTATTTTGAAAAACAGGATGGTCATCAACTTGCCTGGCTTAACCCCTTAGGCGGAAAGGGATTCAGTAATGGTAAACCATATATTTATGTATATATTATTTATTTATTGTTACTGAGCAGGGAAATACAGGTAAATAAAAAAATATTTTTAACAATAACTTTCTGCCTTGTAGATGAGAAGTGGAAAAACAGGTTGTCCTTAACTGGTGCCTCGCTGGTCATAAAGGCTTTGCAGGAAGACCTCTTTGGGACTTTTGTCTGTAAAATCAGCGCAGCCGGTCAGCGTGACTCGATCACTGTATTTAAAGTCATTCAAGTCAAGGGTAAGAGCAAAGATAAGGTCACATGATTAGTGTGACCTAAGTCAGTTGATCAGTTTCACATAAAAGTTTAATTAATGGTTATTAAAGTTTAAACCACTGTATTTACATATCTGCATCATATTCAACAGTCTTACACAAGTTGTTCAAATATAGCGCATGTTTTTAATTTGTGTCCTGAGATGTTTGATGTAAGAACAGTTTAACTTATTAACTTCTTAACATGGCCTTTATGAATTCATTGGACATGACAATCTGTTTTTTTAAACTACGTATGTGAAAAAAGTTTATTTTAAAATGTAAAATATATCACTTCTATTCTGTTTCCTTTATTCTGCTTGTTTTCTGTGCTAGTGATTGAGAAATCAGCCTCTCCTCTGTTGTCTGGCGATTATCTGAGTCTGACCTGCAGTCTGGGAAGTGTTCCTCAAAACACACCTGAGATTTACTGGCTCAGTCCCCAGGGAAACACAGAAGGAAACAAAGGAACAGTCTACATTCAAGCCAGAAGTGAACACAACGGCCAGTGGGACTGCGTAGTGAAAAGAAATGCCAATGAAAAGAAGTTCCCAGTTTCTGTTACAGTTGTGGGTGAGTTTCTGTGTGTTTGCATTTGTTTCGCAGTTGTGTATCCTCATCTTTAAGATCAGGTTTCTAACAGTTTCTCCTCCTTTTTAGATCTCGCCCCTGTGCCTTCACATCAGTATACATCCACAGACTCGCCTCTCACCATCCCTTGTTCTTTAATTTCTCTTGTTAGCTGGGAACAAGTGAAAAAAAAGGAGATTGAGGAAGTTCAGTGGCACTTTGCTCCTAAACTCTCCTCAGGCACCCTTTCTGACAATCCAGAGCAGCTCTTCTCCCTCGATCTGGAAAAACTTACCTGGAAGAAGGGTAAAGACAAAGGACTGTCTCCTGTATATAACATTAAAAACGGAAATCTGTCTTTGACCAAATCAAAGGCAACAGTAGAAGAAAGAGGACGCTACACGTGCTCAATGAAATTTAAAGATGGCAGGACTCTGGAGACCACAGTAGACGTAGTGGTGTTGGAAAGTAAGTCACATTTTTTTGACAAGACCAGCTCTGTGTTGCACTCACCTCCGTTATATTTAGGGTTATTTTTTCTTTGTGACCGCTCTTGCTGCCTTCCTGCTCGGCCAGTATTTTCATTTCTCTGCTACTGAATTTATTTGCAAGTGTCCACAGTGTGACATGTTTCTAATTCACAAGCTCCTCTTGTTTTAATTGGCTGCATTAAGCATCCCCTCTGCCAGAACAGCGTGCTAACACAGTGAATCTTAATTGGACCGTGTGTTATGAGAATTTATGAAGTAAACTATGATTTGCGGCTGAATGTTTTTTAAAGTAGAACCAGAAACAAATACAGATCTGATGTATTTACTCACAGGAAATTGCTCCTATAACACAATTTCTCTGGACTGTTCTCAAGCAAACCCACAACTCACATTATATTCAAATGATAAAAGCTATATTTAAATATTGATGTGAGATGTTGAATTTCTGCAGCATTCACATGTGGAGGTTTGAAGCCAAACCTTTTGTTTTTTACAAGCTTTTATTTGGGAAAGAAATCAAAATGTCTTGTTTAGACATCATCGCTGCTTTCGTGGCCAAAGTTTTAGTCTGATTTCAGGAAAATGCCGTTACAGACAACTTCTTTGAAGCAATTTATTTTATAAAATGCATGTTTTTCATTTTATTTCTTTGTCCTTTCTCTTCTGCTTCGTCTCCAGTCATCGCCCACCCAAAAGCAGAGCTAATCTACGGTCAGCAGGTCAATCTGTCCTGCAGCACTGGTGACCAGCTGCCCAATGATATGAAGTTAAATTGGACTTCACCTAAAACGTCATCTTACATCTCTTACCCCACCCATATTACTGTCCCGGAAGTGGGCAAAGAAGATAACGGAAAGTGGGGGTGTGAGCTGTGGCAGGGCGGCAACAAGCTGACGTCAGATGAGATACTGCTTAAGATCGGTGAGCACGGGAAGTGAGACGAGCAGGAAGTGTGACATGGGCCTGACCTTGTGACCACAAAATTTTAAGACAGAAACTTCTTTTACATGATGTGTTCTTTCTATACTGTATACTGTTTGATGACTGTCTGTCTCTGTTGTGTACAGAACCCAGACTGAGTGTGTGGATGCTGGTGATCATTTGCAGCGCAGCAGTCATCCTTCTCCTCCTCCTCGTGCTCGCTTTCATCCACTACCGACGCAGAAAAGTACAGTTCAGCCATTCATATTCCTTTCTTTTCAATCACACTGAGTTATTAGTTCAGCTTTAAGAGTTACCCCTCTGTGTCTGCCTCTTTGTCACTCACATTAGCAGAAAACGAGACTCCTCAGGCATCAACTCTGCCAGTGCAAAAAGTACGTACTAACCATTTCCTGAACTGGTAAAATGGCTCCAAAGCCACATTTATAAGCATGCACACTTATCAGCACTAAAATCTGAATGACACTTTGAGCCATGAGATATTTTTTGAAGTACGAACATTACTTAAATAAGCATTTATGATTTGGCTTTTGTAGTTCTGCGTCAGTTTCCATAACTCAAACAGAAACCTGGGACTTTTTCTTTTTCAGCCCCAAACCAAAAGGATTTTACAGAACATGAAAGCTGACAGACCGGATCTTTAAGAAGAAACGGGAACATGCTGAATTTCTGATCTGATATGTTCTGATTTACCTGATTACCTGGATTTACATCTCTCATTTTGCCATACTGGAAAGTACAAAAGAGTTTTGTTGGATTGAGGATCAAACATATCAGGCAATCTGGACTGATTTTATGTATTTTATGTATGATTATTACCGTCTGTGACTTTAAATCATTTACACTTTGAGTCTATCTGTAGACTAAATTTCCTTTACCCTTATGTATATTTTTTGAGGAGGTCTGTAATGCTTTCAGATGTGTAGGTGCTTCTGTAAATTTACATGTGCAGCATATTATTTGTGTAAAGTTTATTGCTAAAAATGGAAAGATGAAAACTGTGTAAAAACATTAGCAGATGTTTTCAATAAAGCATCAAAATCTTTCTGAGTGATGTTCCTGTAGAGGTCCTCTTGGGCTAATTTAGCGGGATGGCATCCATCTGACAGATTCGTCGATACTGGAAGGAGCAGGGAACGTCGTACCAGTTTGTGATTCTGGGTGTCCACCACTGCACAGTCCTCTCCAGCTTCCCCAGCGGACGCGTTGTTATCCGGCTCAGACTTCAGTGTGTTCCAAAATCTTTACAACGCAGATGGAAGAAGATTAACATTACTTTCATTAATATTCTGCTGAAGTGGCATTTCACCTGCTAAGTTTGTGCACTGTTTTAACAGTTGTCTTGGAAGATGCATTACTTTTAAGTAATTCTTTATTCTTCAAGAGCCATCACCAGCTAAAGGACCTGTTTATTTACAGGATGGTTCCTTGTGCTTGTGCACATTTCTAGTTGTGACTATAGTTAGTTTGAAGGATGGAGGAACTGATGCAAAACATGCCTACACCTACATACTAGTTGATGAATTGCTGTGAAGTTTTGCAAAAAACGTAAAAAAAAAAAAAAAAAGATCAAATTGACTTGTCCTCCAGCGCAGCCATCAGGTTTTCAGGGAACTGCCGTAAAGGTTATTTAATAAATGTTTGTGCTTTGTACTTTTCATCATGTCTAATATGGTGATGTTCTCATGAAAACAGTGGTAGTTTTCTTCTTCGAGCAGTTTTCTCATGGAAAAATGTCATGACGTAATGAGACATGCAATTATATTAAAACATCTATAAATCTAAATACCGTCTGTTGGAGGGAATTCATTTCACATACACCATAGGCTAGTCCAGAGACTTTAGCAACCTCTTCAGCATTATTAGTAATATGACACCTATAAAAATAAAAACACCCCACATTACTTAAACCAGTAATTATGTACTTGGTGCCAAGAAACCTTTGCTGTGTACAAAAGCCCGATTAACAGGCTGAAAATGCTCTTTAAGGTCTTGGCGAGCTCTGTGAACCCTTCTGTGTTGATTTTAATCGAAGCTGATCCTCAACTCTGCCTCGATCACCGTTTTCTCAAAAGAAGTACATTTATTGTTAAGTCTTTAGTGAACATGCATGAACCAAAACTCTGTGTAGGTGTCAAACTGTATGTTTCCTTTACAGCATATGAAACCTATATAAAAGATGATGGCAACGTTACAGAAACACCCAGGCCTTCATTTTAAGTCTCTAAAGCGCTCAGTGTGTAGGCAGGCAGGTGCTGCAGCTCCATGCAACAATGTTTGTCGTTAAACCAACGATAGGTTACTCGATGATTATTCAGACTAGCGTGTTCATTTATACATGTTTGCTTTAGGATTGTAGAGAAATGTCGTGTTTGTCATTTGTCATAATAATATAAATATTTGTTTAAAATTGTTTAACTAAGTAAATATGATTAAAGAGCAAAATGGTCAGAATTAGCATCAGCATTTTCATTTTGTTTTATAAACTGAAGATTAATAATTCATATTTTCAGCAATCGTTTTATCTTCATTTTTTGTGCAATCTGCACTACCAAACAGACTCTAATGTGATCCGTACATCTATCTATAAGTGGCCAAAGGAGTCATTTAACTGACATAAACAACAATCACACAATTTTTTTTTTTTACTGTTTCCCAACTGCTTCTCTACCAACCATAGACTGTATATAAAAAATGGACACAGCCAGCATGGTGTCACCCACTGGTTTGCAAAGTCCTGCCATGAAACCTTGAGTTTAGCAATGACGATGAGCGACCCAAGGAGCACTGCAGCTCTTAAGGCAGCAGCGTATCAATCAGTAACTAGGCCTGAGCTAAACCACACTCTGGTTTGACACAGGCCTAATCCTCATTTTGACTACAATCTGATGTTATATTACAAAATGCATAATTTTGTATTAAAATAACTATCAATTGAAACAATAAGGCATCAGGAAAGTGTTCATGAGTGATTTCTTTATTGACTTCCATACAGTCTGACTTCTTTCTGCATCTATATGAGGTGCCCCCTGCTGGCCATTTGAGAGAATGCAAGTTCCTGCATCCATGAGACAAAGCCCGTGTGGTCTTCACAGTAGGTGCAGACATTGCACTCGAGTTACAGTGAGGAAAAACTCATAAGTGAAACCCCAAAACTTTTTAGGTTTTTTTACACGAAAGCTATAGCAGCTGAATTAACCTGTTTTAACAAAGCATCAGATGGACATTTTTAAACTAATAGCTTTTACATATTTTTAAATGTCCACAAGCTTCAACATCACACAATCCACAGTGAGAACTATTTGTCTCTCTAACTGATGATCATTTGTAAACTGTATCTGTTAACAACCATCAGAAATGCTTTTTACTTTATTTTTTTTATCCTTTTTTTGTTAGATCACCCACTTTTTGTATGATGATACCATCCTGAGAAGACCATTGAAATTTGAATCAATCAATTCATACTTACGAAACTTGAAGCGTTGAGTTGTCCACCCATTTCCAGTCTCCTTCGTTCTCAATGTCACTCAGCCCAAGCCAGTAGAATGGGTTAAATGTCCCAATCGTCCTGGCTTCTTCTTCAAGAGCGTCCTAAAAATAGGTACAGTCAAATTCTTTAGCACTTGTGAATTCCAAAAAAATACATTTGAAACATTTAAAGTACAAAGAAACTCTCACATACTCTTCTTTGGTGGTCAAGATGGCGAGATGTCCGCCTATATCCTTACATTTGAGCGTACTGTTAAGCCAACCGTCAGTATCGTTGCTGAGGAAAAAGCAGTGATCCCCTACGTGAACTCACCCGTCAGGACACTCTGTGCAGTTGATCGCTGTAGGGTGACACGGGGACAGACAAATATACAAGTTAAACATTTATAGAAAGGTGCAGAACAAGAAACAAGCACTGAATTATCATTCATCTGCTGAACATTTGGTACCTGGAGCTGAACAGTTGTGTGCCAGGTCGGAGTACTGGTTACACATGTGTCTGAAGCGGTCCTTCAAAGACTCTAGTTTCAGCTTTAGAAAGGTCAGCTCTCCCTCTGTGTTGTTTGCGTCCTGAGCAGATTCAGCACTAGCAAACAGGCCGAGCACAACGCAGAGGATGGCGAGGCCTTTAATGCCCAAGGTGGCTGATGACAGACAGCAGTCTCAGCATTAGCACACATGCAAACAGATCCGGACATACGAATATCTGGAGCTGCATCGGGGCTTCTTACCTTTCTTTTGGATAAGATGCATGTCAGCTGTCAGCTTGCAGGATATCGCAGTCTTTGGTGTCCTCTCTGTGCCCTTTTGATCTTTTATATAGCAGTTTGTGTGTCAAAGAGAAGGGAAAAGTACAGCTTGCACAAATCTTCCAGACAGATTGGACTCTTCATGGCTATCAAACCATGTAAACTCAGATGGTGCAATCTCTTGTAGCCAAACTAGTAATAACCTGCCATGTTGGATTGCACAAACAAACATTTGATGATGGGGAGCTGGCATGTAGGTTCAGTATTATTTACCAAAAACATGAGCAAAGTTCTCTTTCTGTCCCCAACTTTTTTAAAACTGGCAAAAATGGAGGACTGACTATGACTCAGCATTTACCAGCACTGCAAGTGTGTGTGTGTGCTGGTAAACATGTGCGTGTGTGCTTAAGGTTATTTGTATTCTCTCCATAAGCAGAACAGCTGTAACAATATCACCTCTTCACCACACACACACCAGATGCCCACTCTGTTCTTCTAGCACACTGTCAACATTTTTTCTGGTACATGTCCAAGTTATTTTTTTTCCTGGCACCTTATTCCCACAGACATTGTCAGCTCTTGTGCTTCATGAGGTTTTGTTATTCAAACCAAACTAATTAAAACAGAGAGGAGGGGTGTTTTATGTTTGTGTCTTATTCAGTGACTGCTGTGCTGAAATTTGTGGTTGCACATGACCAGAAATTCTTCTCTTCTGACTTCCTGTACTTTTCTCGCTGAGCCACAGCTTGGCTCTTCTTTTTTAAAACACGCTGTTCCCGCCTGCTTTCCCATCACAACCTTGTCACAGCTCCAGTTCTAGTTCTTGTTGCTTTAATTAATGTCAGGAGGAGTTCAAGTACACACTGTATTTTTTCGGATCCTGTTAAAGAACACGTTCCCCCATTCTGACTCATCCGTAACGAATTTCCAGCCGAGGAAACTTCTGGGATTGCGCAAGATGGGGCTTGATGGCAAGATGTCCCACCAATGAGAAGCACACGGTGCCAAAAATGTGAGGAAAGAGCCTCCCTGTTTGGCTTAACAAATTCTCCTTTTTTACAAAACAGATAACACAGAAAAGCTCGAGTTATCTCGTGGAGGGCACAGAGTAGTGTTGTGCAGTTCTCTGAGCAAATATATTTAACACTGCAACGTTCTTTGATTCAGGGGGACGTGCCTCAATAATTCAACCAGCAGGGACAAATTTAATTTTAAGGAGAAATATTGTTTCTCCAGACAAAAGATACCAAAACCTTTAGGGACCTGAAGAGGTAGCATATAGAAGGACAAAGTGGGGAAGAGGGTTGAGAAGGAAACTACAGACATGGAGCAGAGAGAAAACTACAGCAGCCTGCACGAGTTCACAGAGGAGCCCAGACCGGGAGCGAACAGGCTCGTCCCACAACACAGCGACGGTAATTTGTGTGAACAAACAGATGCGTGAGAGCCAGAGGTGGACTTGAGTACATTTACTTAATTGCTAAACTCAGCTATGATTTACATGGTACTAGACTACTATTTTGTACCCATGTTTTATACTGGATGCAGAATAAAATATGGATACAAAGTACTTACCACCTGTACTTCACTTGACTTTATTAATGCTACTTTTTTATATATTATAGCAGAGTTTTTGTTACAAATGAATTCATATAAGTTGCTCATTACAGCTGCTGTGTGGTAAAGTTATTGTGTAGCTAGTGCTCCCTTATTTTAGATTTTGCTGTTTTAACCTCCTGAGGCCCGAGCTATGTGTGATTAGCTGCTCCTGATAGTCTAGTCTAATAATGAAGCTTTACCCCAGATTATAAACTTGTTACTTTGCTACAAAGTTTTCTTATGCCTTGTTTTTTTAAATAGTATTTTCTCACAAGGGGATAGTGGCTTTATTTTTATTTTATTTTTTTCTTATTTTGCAGCATAAGACAATAAATTTAACATTGCTTAACAAAGCATGAAAAAACTGAGCACATTGAAATTTAAGGTGCAGAACAGCCATAAATGTGATGTCCTCACATGAGGTCGAAGGATCTCAGGAGGTTAAGACTATTTAAACACGTATCCATTGAATGTAGTAGTAAAAACAATGAAATATTAAGAAACACGGTTGGAATCAGTTTTTTTAGGCGAGCTTACTTTCACAGCTATCATGAGCAGAAGTCCATGTGATGTTGGAAAGAACTTGAACCATCTTTAATTTAGTGCTGCAGTTTTAACCTATCTAAATTTCACTTGAATGCTCGTGTCTATGCTTTCCTGGCAGCTCAGGGACTCCATGCTTCAAACAGCAGGATCCAGGGTTCAAAGCTTGGTGCTGCCTTTCTGTGTGGATTGTGCATCTTCAGCTCATGTTGCTAGGTTATTCCTTCTTATCTTAGCTCAAATTACTCTCATCAAATTCATTTAAACTTTAATTTCCTCTTTATATTAAACAGAGTTGGTCTACAATCTTACTTTGCAGATGAATGTTTTTACAAACACATCGTCTCATAAAGGAAGTGGCTGCAGATTATGCTTTAAGTCCAACTGTCTTATAGAATCACAGCCAAAAATGTTGGCAGTGGTACAAATTTCTTGTTGCATACAATCTGCTGCTTCAGATTTATTTAATCTGTTGTGTGTGTGTGTTTCTCTGTGTGTTGTGTGTGTGTGTGTGTGTGTGTGTGTGTGTGTGTGTGTGTGTGTGTGTGTGTGTGTGTGTGTGTGTGTGTGTGTGTGTTTATGATCTAGCAAAGAAACAATCAAACACATTTCATACATTTCATGGGGAATGTTGATCTGTCTTCTTTGTATCTTCTGCAGTGTGTTTAATATCAGCTGCCAGGACAAATCCAGAAGCTCTTTGTAATTAACATATTTGCTTCTGATCATAATAATACAGGAATGCTGAGAGCCACCACCATAAAAACTGGGGCGTCAAAGCACCCTGCCAAAACTTGTGGCCATGACTGTAATCTCTAAGGATAAAATTGATGCACAACTTTCAGTATCTGAAACTCTGTATTTTAGTGTTAGTGTACATATGTGACAGCATTAGGGAGAGAGTATCCACTGGCTTGCTATCTTTGGGGATTTGAAAATATAATGAAACTAAACTCTGGTCAAACGGTTCTGCCCCACAATTTCCTTTAAAGTCTGCTCTCGCTGCTACACCAGAGGAATTAAAGTGGTGAATTGACAGCTTGCATGCTGTGGACTGTTTTGTGTCTAATCAGGCTCCCAGGGACTGAAGCAGGGCGTCAAGTGTTTGAGGAGTAAGACTTCTCTCCTGATACTTATTGGCTTTTTGGCCTCCATCTGTGGCAACATCGTACTCGCTGTGCTCTGTAAGTATAAATACTGTCTCAGAACCTCGTGCCCCCTCCTGTGTGTGCTGTACTTTGGGTCCAGTGCAAAAGACTTTGGTACTTAAAATAAAAAGCTTAGTAACTAAAAGTCCATATTTATCAGTTTTTCTTCATAAAGAGTGTAGGAAAGAGGGAAAAAAATCAATATTTGCTACAAGCAACTACCATCAGTTCCCCTGCATATGTACACAGCTTCGAAGTATTTAGGATGTATATGTTGGAGCTCATCCCTCAGTTCATCAGTATCTTCTGTCTCTTCATGAAATCCCAGACTGACTCCACCATGTTGGGATCAGGCCTCTTTAGGGGGGAAACTCATTGCTCTTGCTGTCATTAAAGATAGTCATTTATGACTCTGGCTCTATGTTTGGAGTCATTTTTGTGCTGCAGTCTGAATTTAGTACCAACCTGATGTCTCCCTCAGGTATTGGTTGATAGAAAATGAAACATTTGAAGTGCCTAAAACTTTTGCACTGTGCTCTACATCTGCCTGTCTATGTCTGTGTCTTTGGGTCTCTATCCCACGCTGATTATTCTCTCTTTATTTCAGCTCAGTGGGCTTTTGGACACCTAGAATTGGCAATAAAAAAGATAAAGCACTCTCTCCAGTCCAGTGAGGGTCATGTAATAGAAAAAGCACAAAAGTCCATAATTGTGAAATATTTCTCCTGCAGGGCCAAGAGTCTCTGGCAGCTCAGCCTGATAATGTGCTTGTGAGGACACTCTTTCATTTAAAACAAACACCACTGGGGCCGTACGTGCTTGATCTATTGCCACGCATGCACATACACACTCGTTCAGACGCACACTCCCAAGCTATCGAGTACAATTTTCAGATCCGAAAATGATGACTGGGATGTCTTGCAGCAAGAGGAGGAAAAAAAACGAAATACTTCCTATGACAACAGGATCTCTAACATATTTTAAGACTTTCGAAAGAGAGAGTGCTTTAATTCTATTTCATGACTCTGTAGAGCAAGTCTGCCTAAGTAAAACAAATTAAATGTAATGTAATGGTATATACAGTAGCTGCAGATTAAATCACAACTGCCGTATGAAAAGTTAACACATTTCATTTCACAAACATCTGCAGCATATGCATTTGTAGAAAGGTTTTTTGTGACGTCATGCAAGCCACATTTTACCACAGCAGCACCTGCACCTGTGTTTTGAGAGGGCTTTCCAGGAAAGGATCACCTGTCATTAGTGGTAAAAGGTCCAACTCGTTTTTCTAGCACATATTAACTCTGATGTGATTTACTAACCACAGTTCAGCTTACAGTAAATCAAGATAAACATGCTGAAAATAACTTTGAATCAGTTCAGCTGTTGCAAGCACCTTGGCTTTCACTTCCCTGACACATGACCAGTTGCGACACTTCTTCAGGGTAACATGCTGATTGGGCCTGAAGGATGTCACCACTTCTTATGGTACTTCTTAATGACAGTGAGGTAACTATAGTAACCATTATCTCTATTTATGTCATTAGATGAATATATTTTTTAAACGTTTCAGTACTCAAATGGGAAGTGGCAACATAAAAGAGAGCAGACACACAAATGGAAAAATATGTGGCAATGAAACCAGATTGCAAATGATAATTTCTTCTGGCCGCAAGGGATCTCATGTAAACACGATCATTCCAACCAGGGCAGCAATGAAACCATACAGAGTCACAGACTGTAAAGAGAAGGCTTATATGCTTCAAGAGGGAGCGGTTTATTGGCAAATGAGAAACCACAACAGTATAAAAACTGCGTTTGTTTATATTCAGTCTTATGCGGGTCCAACACGAGAATACTGCATGGATTTATCGGGTGATCGACCCCGAGATATTGGCTGTGTTGATTGAAATGTCTTCACTGTCTCATATAATTTTGCACATGTATCCGTGTTCTTTTCATCAATATCATCACTGAGTCAACAATTAGATTTTCCTCATAATGTTCCTATCAACCTGCTAATTTCCAAACATTAGTGTGCGAGCACTCTGATAGCTGTTAGCAAAGCATGCCAGTGGATGCTCCACCAAACGATCACATTTGCTGTGGATTGCTTTGCTGATCGGTCCATCACTTTTTTCCAGACTGATCTTCCCAAGTATCACATGAATTGCCATAAAATTTGGTACATACACTCATCAGAAATTTAGGTACACCTTGCCACTGCTGGGTCGGACACCCTTTTGTCTTCACGGCTGCCCTAATTCTGGATGTGCTGGAAACATTCATCAGAGATTTTGACCCATATTGACATGATAGCGTCACATCAACATTGATGTGCAACATCTCAGCAGTGCTCTGTGTGGAGCACTACAGAGGCCATTTGAGTCCAGGAAAATCATTGTTATGTTTAAGAAACCAGCTTGTGATGATTTGAGCTTTGTGACATGGCGCTGCTGAAAGCGGGATAAGGCGCCATGATCTTTTGACTTAACAACCAAAGTCAAAAGGTCACTGCAGTAACTTAAATCATGCACATATTTCTTCCCCATTCTGATTTTCAGTTTAAACTTCAGCAAGTTTTCTTGACCATGTCACATTGCTTAAATGCAGTGAGTGAGTTGCTGCCACATGATTGGCTGATTCGATGTTTAAATTAGCAATTAGCTGAACACGTATACCTATTGTGGCCTATCTATCTATCTATCTATCTATCTATCTATCTATCTATCTATCTCTCTCTCTCTCTCTCTCTCTCTCTCAGTGATTAGTAGGCCGGTGCCAACAGCCCCACTGGAGTCTTCCTCCTCTTCAGCTCTGGGTTTGAAATCAATGCAGAGGCGTTACATCCAGCTGTGTGAAGACTACACTGCCCTGGGACAGGGCTGTTCAAAGACAGGTGGCAGGAAGTCGTTCAAACAAATGAACACAGTCTTCATTTCCTGCTGTCTTTGATTTCCCTTTCCCCTCATCCCTTTATCTTGCTCTTTCTCATTAACAGTTAAGCAGTGCAGGGAGTGTCCTGAAGGTTGGCTTCACATCGGGAATCAGTGTTACTATTTCAGCAATGACAGGCTGGACTGGGTGAGGAGCAGAGACAGCTGTGAAGAAATGGGCAGCCATCTCACCATACTGCACACCATAGAACAGCATGTATGCAAATTAATGCGTTTTGTGTGCGTGTGCTTGTGTGTGTGAGTGTGTTGAACCCTGCTGACCAGCGCAGGTGTTGCTCATTCCCCTAATTGTGTGGGTTACAGCATGCTGTTGGCGAAGGAGTGGATGTGGGTGGAAGGAGCGATGACACTCATATATCTTTGCGAGGCAAGGTTATTTTATCTGCTGAAGTTAAGAGGACCACTGGATTTTTTGGTGATAACATTAATGATGCCTTCCTTCTATTCAAGTGTCACAGTTCACATGGTCAGTGTGGCAGTTAGCTGAGTCATGCACAATACCAGGATGCTGCAATAGGAGCAAAAAAATAAAACTCAGCCCACATTCAACATAATTTGTTAAAAAACAGTAACTAAGCCACACACAAATAATGCAGTCAATTGTTTAAACTCCACAGTGTGAGTAATATTTATGTGATTTCATGATTTCATTTGTGTGATTTCATGTGATCACCATCTTGGTCTTTTGGAACCAGATAAGACCACATTAGCCAACTAGCTGAGTGACTAAGTTACAAAAAAGAAAAGAAGAGAGTTTAATCTCCTCTTGTCCAGTTATTGTGAAAGGGGAATTGGTTAAATAGGCCAAAAACCTTTTTATATCAGGTCTTTAAAATGCTCATTTCATTGCTGATGTTCACTGATTTGACTTTTTTAGGGCGTCAGCCTCAAGTGGCGACTGGCTGAGTGGAGCCCCAGAAGTTAACGCCTAGTTACAATGTTAATTTAAGAAAATAAACATACACAGGTGATCCGAACAGACCATGTTCGACTATCGTTTTGGCTTTGTTGCACCACATCACAGTGTAAACTGAGTTAATTTGTCAAGAAAGACTCTGGGACATGTCACAAAAAAGAAAGGCATGGATGTAAATAATAAGATTTATGATGGCTAAAGTCCATTTATCACCTTCAGGTTCCATTTCCTGGCATTCTTGCATCATGACTGATGGTTTGCCGGACACAACAGAGACACTGTTAGTCTTAAAGCTGTTAGATTTGCTGTTGTGCTTCTAGCTATGTGGGTTTGGTTTACTGCATTAACTGGAGATCATTCTCCAATAGTGCAATATTAAGAGAATGTATTTTGAGCTTTCGACCTTGCGGGTGTATGTTTTGCAACATAAATTTTACATCAACAGTTTTCAAGGAGCACAGCTTCTAAGTTACGGTTAAGGTTGAGTTTAGATTTTAGGTGTAAGAAAGGACTCTGAGTCATGTATGTGTGTTCATTTTCTCCAGGATGCTCTGGAAAAGGAAGCTAAGAGAATTGGTGGATTTTATTACCACTACTGGATCGGCCTGTCTGACATAGAGACTGAAGGAGAGTGGAAATGGGTGGACAACACGACACTCGAACACAAGTAACAAAATTTAATGCATTTATTTTCTTTTTTAAACTTTTATTTTCGATTATGACACCAATCAATCTGTCCAGGAACAACCTATATAAATTCAAATGGCAAACTCTGCCCACACTTATATCAAAGCCTCAGGTATATCAAACATTTCATCATCAATAAATCAGGTTGCTGGCCAAGGTGAACTTGTTTTTATCATTTGTCAGACATGTTTAGTTGTTATTTATAGCTCACCAATCTATCACACTTTCTGCTCTCTCCCTCTGTCACAGATACTGGGATCAAGCGAGCTCAGAGCCAGATAACCACCACACAGGAGGGGAACACGGAGAGGACTGTGCCACCTTAGACAGCCACTCCAAGACATGGTTTGATGTTCCTTGTGATCACATTTATAAACGAATCTGCCAGATGGATGCCATTCAGCTCAACTGAATCCCTACACCACTAAAAATGATGCAGACCTGCGAAGGCTGGATATGCAAGACGTGAAAATGAATGGGGGCATGTTTGGGATTACTGAAAATAGATGTCGGCACTAAAATAAGCACAGTTTTGCTTTTTTGTTTTTGGGGTTTTTTTGTAAGCTCACGGTTGCTGAAAAGCTGCGCATTATGTTGAGAAAGCTTGTTGGAGATTAAGCTGTTCGCTGAAAGATATCATTTGCTTAGTGGTGCACTGATTGTACACAAGGACGTGAATATTTTTTAAAAAAATGTGAGACCATGACATCAGGTGGCAATTTTTGACTTTACAATGAACTCGTGTAGTTTCAGAGTTGCACAGTCTGCTGGGAAATGAGCATGAATGTTGTCACTGTGTCACATTTTTTTTAATCTGTCTGCTGTTGAGGGCTGCAAAATGGTTTAGAAACAGCACTGTAGGGTTTGTTGGGTGCCAAGCAGCGGATGTCCTATTTTGACCTTATCTTAGAAATCCACCTTACCTTATCACACAAAACCCATGACAGCCCGTAAAACCCTGTGAAAAAAAAAAAAAGTTAGGGAGGTGATTTGATTCTGTTGATCGAGTTTTGTGCGTACACAGAAGTTGCGTTTTTTTAAAACTGAGGATTTCAATTGAATTTCAGTTGAAAATGGCTGCAAAACAGGAAATGAGATAATATCTCGGCAATTCTTTGTGTAAACATGGTCAAGTGTTTCGACTTACATCTGAAACATCTGGTGGATATGGTGTGTGTGTGTGTGTGTGTGTGTGTGTGTGTGTGTGTGTGTGTGTGTGTGTGTGTGTGTGTGTGCTGTGTGTGTTGTTCTCTGCTGAACTGGCCCTTCATATCTGCTGTCAGCTACAGTATAATTTCTTAGTATTTTCCCTTTAAGATGAAACATGTTGCTTGTCTGGAGTATTCTATATTTGTATGTATGTACACTTGTAAATCAATAAACTATGTTTTATCATCTACCTTTTTGCTTTCTGTCTATTCCATGCTGCTTGCAGACAAATGAACAAATAAAAAAGATATAAAAGTTTACAAACCTTTTTTTTATTGTTTAAAGCTAAATTACTGACCTCTTGTTAAATGTTGATGCCTTCGTGTAGATATGAGTTTGCGGATCTCTTACAGACTTTACATTCTTTGTTTATTTTTGATACATTTTTCGACTATTACACAAGAATTGGAGTATTATGAGTTGCAAGAATGTCATATACAAGCCCCCTAGTAAAGCACCTTTTAATAAACAGACAATATAACTTTTACATAGATACAAGCCCTAACAACATATACTGGAAAACTTGTGCAATTTAAAAAGGCACGAGTAAGTAAATCCTAAATGGTGGATTCTGTTCATCTGGACGTAGCGTTTTCAATTGGAGAAACGTTTCGTCACGCTACGTCCAGATGAACAGAATCAACCTTTTGGGGCCATGAATACTTAAATACAGTTATATCTACTGATCAGTTATGTAATTTAAAAGCACGTGGTGAAGGGTATGGGGAACATTTTGTTGTTTCCAATGATTATGGACAGGTTCACAGGTGAGGTCAGGCAGTCTCTATGGTGGATGCTCCTTGCAGACGACATTGTGGCTTGTACTTAGAGTAGGTAGGAGGTAAAGTGATGGAGGCATAGTCTGAAGAGAAGAGGAATGTAAGTCAGCAGAAGCAAGACAGAATACTTGTGTGTGAGGGATCATAAAAGGAGTAGAGATAGTAAAGATTTAAATACCTGTGGCCAACCATTCAAAGCAACAGAGGGTACATAAGAGAGCTGAGATGGTTTGGTTTATTTGCAGAGGAGGGAGTGTGGATATATCACTGAGAAAATGTTGAATATCAAGCATCCAGGCAGGAGGATTCAGAATCAGAATACTGTATTAATTCCTAAGGAAATATCTTAAAGGAAAGAACCAAACCAGAGCGTAGGTTCAGATGTTGTTTAAGGAGGACATGCAGTATAGCTGTATAGCTGTATATCTCAGATTCTGTAAAGTTATTTATTTCATATTCTGTATAGTTTTTCATATTTATATCCTGTCCATATCCTGTACATAGCTTGTACTCACTACAGCCTGTACATACTTATAGTTATAGAATATTCACAACATACTTCATACCGTGTACATTATAACATACCATAATAGACCCATTTCTGTAATATACTCACATATCTATACTATTGCTAATATATATTGTAATATATCTATATCACTAAAGCACTTCTGGATGGATGCAAACTGCATTTCGTTGCCCTGTACCTGTGCATGTGCAATGACAATAAAGTTGAATTCTATTCTATTCTATTCTAATAGAGGAGGATGCTAGGAGCTAGCAGATGATCCACTGTAGCGATCCCTAAAGGGAGCAGCCAAAATAAGAAGATAAAGATATCATGCTTGTCTTGAGTTTCCCTCTGAAATACATACATAGACTTTGGGAGATGTAGAGTAATATTAAAGAGAAAATAAATATTAGTAAAGGTTATTGAAGATAATAAACAGTTGAGGCCTTTTTTTCATATTTATGTTCCTAAGTTGAAAGCATGCTAACTGTTTTATTTGGCTTTGTGTTTAGCAGGAAGAAGCATTTCATCACTGACTGCTGTTCATGAGAACATTGACACTCGGTACAGTCCGCTAACATTTGCGTGGAGTATACCCAGTCGCCGCTAAGTGGTGCTCTCCTCTCTAATCCGCTGTAACAAATCGTGATTGACAGCTGCCTTTGTCCCGCCTGCTTTGAGCGGCTGTCCAATCACGGATTACGTCACTTTGTTGTAGCGGAACTGAGCGCTCGAAAGGGAAGCTGTCTGCCAGAAACCAACACAACAAGGTAAATTTTAACACGCTAATCCGCGTTTTACCATTTTTGTTTTAATATTTCAATGCATATGTAGTTTATTGGCTATCTGAATACGATGGTGGCATGTTTGAAGTCAATATAAAGCCTTAAAATGGACTGAGGCCTGAAGTCAGCGGTTAGATGAAGCCTGTCGGCGGCTAATTAGCCGCTAGCAGCCGAGCTAGCATGACACATTGAGCTTGAATAATAGGTAATGTTTACGTAAACAGTGAGCTTAAAGTCGGGCAGCTACCCAAAACTACAGTTATAATGTGTATCTTTAGCACTTTATCTGACAGCTGATTTGATGTTTCGCCCCGGGTAAGCATATAAGCTTAATATCAGTGCACCCTAAATTTAACTACTTACTTCAGGACAACACATGACCCTTTAAGTCTCTGTAAGCGCCACTTTATGTTTTGGTTGATTTTTGTTTGAATAAATAGATCATCATCATTATTATTGTTGTTGTTGTTGTTGTTGTTGTTATTGTTATTTAATATTAACAAGTTTAAAATTGAGATCTTGAATCAGTACAGAATGACAGAGACGTTTCTGTTTACTGCTTTAGACTTGAAAGACGAATATTAATTTAATTTTAACAAAGAATGTAACAAAATTAACATGGTGATAGAAGTAAAACTTCAAGCAAGGAAACAATAATTTTTTAAAGACCCAATTTCTGGGCAAAGTCTGCCATTTTAAAGCAGTCAGGTTTGACTGCTTGCTCTGTAGATGCAGCTTTTGTGCTGCTGAACAATTAAATTACAAATAATTATAGATAATGCTTGGAAATATACGCACGGATAGGTTTCAAGGTGGCTTCCAAGTGGTGAAGGAACTTTGCTTGAAGTAGTTTCATATTTAAATGCAAACTTTATGAACACAAGTTGATTCAAACAGTATTGTATTAATGACCTGAAAAGTTGCAGATTTACTTGTGACTTTGACAGAAAACTGTCAGCAAAGAAGGCTCTTATTTATGAATGTCAATTAGTGCTAAAATGTATTTGTGCTCCTTTTTCATGCAGAACAGTCAATTTAAATATATCCATAAAACAAACATGACAAAAATGGTTTAGTTCCCAGAGGTATTTATAACACTTTAAATATAATTTGTGGGGTACACTGCTCGTTTGACTAAACAAGCTATTTGAAGGTGTCACCCTTATCTCTGGTAGAGTGTGAACGACAGTTTCTCAAGGGTACACTGATAAACATGAAGTGAATATTAGTAAGCGCTAGTATTAGCCTTATTAAGGGAATATCAGTGTATTGGCAAGCACAAACTCACTTCCAACATTGTGTAAAATGTGACTAAAAACAGAATGGAATGATTTTAAAATCTCACAAACCCAGATTTTATTCACATGGAGACACTGTTTTATGAAAAATATCTGTTCATTTTTAATGTCATGTCAGAAACATGATTCCATAAATTTGGTTTGGGAGCAATTAAAGGTTAAAAAAGTAAGCAGTATGAAGAAGAAACAGATGGAGGAACATTTTGTAACTAATTGGATTAATTGGCAAAAAGTCAGTAACATGATCTGTTGCCAAAAAACAAAAACTGCATCTACAAATTGGAGAATAGTTTTGGAGTAATGTACCTCGATAATAAAGTTGTTAAGACTTTGAGTACGGTATCTCATCATCTGCAGTCCACAACAATATTAAATGATTCAAAGTGCCCAAGGGACAATGTCGACAATCACTATTGGATGCCATTGCAATTTAGCCCCTCAAGCAACACTGCATTAAAAACAGACAGGATTATGTTATTCTGAAAATCACTGCATGGGTTCAGGAACACTTGTTGATATTACTGTCTTTTAACACACTTCAACATCACATCCACAAATGCAGATTAAAGCTCTATTATGCAAATAATAATCCATATGTAAACATGATCCAGAAACCTCATCTTCTCTGGGTCACAGCTCATTGAAAAGGGACTGAGGCAAATAGAAAACTGTTCTGAGGTCATATGAATTGAAATTTGAAATTCTTTTTGCAAAACGTGGACACTGTATCCTCTTGACTAAAGAGGAGAGGGATTATCTGCCTTTTTTTTTTTCTTCAAAAAAGTCCTTCCATAAATCAGTAAGACAATGTGAAACTGCATACCGCTGCTATGAAAACAGCGTGACTTCCTGGTCCGGGTGCTGAACTGGACTGCCTGCAATCCAGCTCTTTTGCTGACTGAAAACATTTGGAACACTGTGAAAAAGAACTTTTTTGAGACGTGTTGCTACTATCAAATTCAAAATGAGATAATAATGATAATTACCACCAATATGGGCCCATAATTCCACAGTTGGTTAATCTTTAATTTTCATATTCCGAACAAATGAAGCCAATTGGCAGACTAATAGTTATGGCCTTACTTCTAAATAGTCTACTAGTGTTTTAACTCTCACAGATTTGATACGTAGATGATACTTAAAATGCTACAAAATTATAACACAAGTAATCTCAGGGGATTTCAGAATAGTAACTACCATATTTTTCGGACCATAAGACGCACTGGATTATAAGGTGCACTGTCGATGAACGGGTCTGTTTCCATACATAGGCGCACCGGATTATAAGGTGCATTAAGCGAAACAAGCGTTAGCATTCCAGCTTTACTGTTTATGTTATGCTAGCATAGCTGTGCCGCTAGCGATCATGTAGCACATCATTATATACCATCTAGCCCAACTTCAGTAACGCTACTAACGTCACTGCTGTTTAGTTTTCTGTCTTCACTTATGTTGGAAGTGATAGCAGAGCTGTACATTTTAATTTTTTCAGAAATCTCTCTGTCAGAACATGGTATATCTTGTTTAGGTGGAAACTAGCGAGCTAACTTCCTGATAATTTCTAACTCCGTTAAATGTAATAAATTCTGTTTTCATGGATGCCTGGATGTTAAACTTAACTGTTACACCCGGTAAAGCAGCAACACTGATCATTTTATTACAGAGGAAAGAATTTAGACAGTTTATAACTCTCCGTGATGCTGCAGTGTTTGTCTGACTTTGGGACCTGATGCGGACGGAGTTTTGTACCCAGATTACTCTGCGAGGCTCCTGACTATGGTAGCCATAATGCTCCAACAATCCATCAAGCTGTGCGG